GCGTTTACTACTTTGTAAAAAGAAAATGAAAGAGAATTAGATAGACAGATCACAACTGACAGTTAACAGTTGACTTATCTTCAATATTAATTTGGAATAAAAATAATTTTAATTATTTTCAATGCGTTTGAATTTTTTATGTATTTTTTTAAATATATTTTTTAAAATGGCATAGAAGTTCTTTAAAAATTATAAAAAATATGTTGTGGCAACAGCTGTTTATTCTAAAATGTGTTTTGTGTGTGTATGAAATCGTTATTTATTATTTTTAAAATATATATATATATATTTAATAACAATATAAAATACCAAATTTTTAACTATAAGCTGCCCCCAAAAAGTATTTGTAAAATTATTTTGGAACATCAGGGCAATGGCTTCAGTTTAAAATAATGAATTGAAACAAATAGCGAAAATTATGGTGAAAATATTTCTGTAATACTATGCGAATTCTATACTGAAAAGTAATAAAACTAACATTATTTTTATAATTTTAAAACCTCCAATAAACTTGATTATTTTTCAAACTTTCAGCTAATATATATCGTATTTTTTAAGGCATTCACTGCGTATTTAAAAGAAAAGCAAACGTTTAAATACGCAACAAAACCTTTTTTTTTTACCAATCATTGTCCGGGAAAGAGTCTGTCATTCTGTGTTTTTAGTAAAAAACTTGCAGAATAAAATAGAATTTATAGACTTTAATGTGAAAAATTGTTTCTTCAGTGCGAAGAAAATTTTATTCATTTTATTTACATATTCAAGCAACTAACTCTAGTTGAAGTTAAATATTTGAAATAAAGCTTTCTCTATAAAGTAATTTCAATACTTTATATATGAATCAACCAGTAGACAAAACGAAGCTTTTCATAATTTTTTAATTAACGCATTCCAGCAAAAAGTAATATTTTCTGGATAAAAATTAAATAATAATTGATTAAACTTTAATAGACTAGTTTTTGATGTAATGAAAATTTAATGGTTAACTGATTAGTAATTAAAAATTAAGGATTAGCTGCTTGATAGAGTGAAAATATTAAATAATCAAATTAAATTAGCAATTAAGATAAAATTATAAGTTTTTTATTATTTTAATTTATAATTAAAAGTTTAATATATAATTTTATTTATACATTTTTTAAAATTTAAGTTGTATTTGTAAGTAAGTATTTTTTTGTAGGTTTAAGGCTTTATTTCTGGATTAATAAATATAGATAGAATCATATAATACAACAATAATTTAGATGTAATCATAACATGAATCATTTTTATATTATTCTAATTCAATGTATTCCAAAGTACGTGAGTTAAATTACAATTTAATTTCTTCGTACTCAAGACGAGTATGTGAAATATTAAAAATTTACACTTAAGTAAAACATTTCGGTAAATCGGTGTTTATATAAATTTTAAATTAATCAATGAAATAATATCAATAATGTTTTCAGAAAAATCACTAACAATTTTGTGATTGACAAAATTTTCTATAAATAGTTTTATACATCGTAAGACCGGGATATAACGCGCACTTTTTTGACTCAAAAAATAGACGCTTGGGGGAGATAAAGCGGGTATAAAAATGATAGCGCCACCCATCCGGTATAGTGGTTAGTGAAGCTGGTCTGGGTTCGATTCCCGGAAGAGGCATAGATGTCTGTAAATGTACAGTGGCCTTGCAGCACGGGGTACTCTAAATATCCGTCGAGTTGCAAGTACTCTTGCGAGGGTGTTCGAAGGGGAAGAGAGGTGGGAGCCAATTTACCCAAAATGGTCGCCGTAATGGTCATCGTTACTGAAATTGTCGCCAAAAACGATATCAACTTTGCTCTATCGCCAACATTTCACCAAGTTTCCATTGAATCGTCATTATAATGTAAGGAACGGGGTTGCTTGCGGATATTACAATTTTAACAAAACACAACAGAAAATAATATTAACGTATTACACATCCAGATATTTATTATTTACACTATTTTAAGTATTCATTACACGAAATTCGAAACAGTATTTTCTTTTAATCATTAAGATTAGCATTAAATTATTATTGAGAATTTTTGTGTACACGATTTTCTAAATATTTCTTCCCAAACTATTTAATCGTTGGGAAATATAAAATATCGTTGAATTTTTGTACATAAGATAGTTAATGGTTATATTTATACTTGGCTTATTTTCACTAGGAAAAAGCTTCCGATATCTAAATTAATATTATGTGTTTTTGTTTACGTTATTTGACAAAAATATTGTTTTATGCTCTTTTTCTTTCATTTTATAGCATTGAAATGATTTTATCTGTTTTAGTTCAATCTAACAATTACATTTATTCGAACTTATTATTTTCGTTAGGTAAATACATCTTGCAAAAAATAATATTTATACTTGAAAAAATACCCTCAATCTCTATATGTTTATATAACGTAGTCGAGAAAAGAAATCATAAAATGCTACTAATTTGTTTCGTCAATAGCATCGAAGCACTGGTAACTACATTTCATAACTCAAAAAAAATTACCGTATATATAGAAAAATAAGTTATTAAACACACTCACAAAGAATTGGAAAAGTTTCTTACTTTTTGCAGAGTTTCTAAATTTGTGAGTTTTTGATGTTGTTGATTTGTAACCCTATTAAAAACTATCATATATTATTTATATAAATTAGTAATAGTATATTTAAATTTAGTCTTAAGCAGAACTATATTTGCAAGTAAAGTCTTTAATTAAAATAATTTATGGAAAAGAAATCTTTGAGGAGTAAAGTGTTTTAAAAGCATTCAACAATTCATGGCCTTTTTGATGAAGAGTTTTGTAAATCTTAAAGTTATTTCAAATTGCAGAAAACATTGCGAAATAAATTCGGGACATATTTTCATGAAAATATGCAACGTTGTAATTCAAACATTTGCTTGTAATGCTGTTGTTTCTAGAATTTGAAACCATTGCCTAAATATGCAATGCTTTTCAAATTCTAATTTTAAAATTTTAATTTTTACCTTGAACATGTTTAGTGAGAACTCATTTAGCATTACGGTATAGGAGACGAAATATACAACACATTTTATGCTTATGGATCAACTCGGATAAAAATGACTAGTACAGCATAAGCTGGTTTTTATAATAAGGGTCTTCCCACACACTTTTTTTTATCGTTTTTCCCTTATGCGATAGTCCTTCAGGGGGCTCACCTTCTTTAGGTGAGTACGGGTGTCACAATCCCGAGGTGCCCTAGTGATCTTTTCCTTTTCCCACGGGGTTTACTGTCTTTAGTAAACAAGGGCTTCACGAACCCGGGGTACCCTAGTGATCCTTCTCTATTTTCGACCCTCTTTCTTGTCATTCAATTCATTCTTTCTTTCTCTCTTCCCGTCTAGACCACAGATATTAAAACAAATGTTTGGCGCAGTATAGCCGAAATCGGCTCTTGCGCCAATAAACCCCAAAATCACTCACTCACCCTTATGCGATAGGGCCGCGGTAGCCTAGTGGTCAAGGTATCGGGTCATGGCTAGCGTGTCATGAGTTCGAGCCCAGTACCACTGAAAACACGCCGTGTAGGGAAGCGATGCTCGTTAAATCTGTGTAGAGAGAGCTCAAACATCCTCCCGTTGGTGTGGTGTGGTAGTTAGGAGAAGAGGGTGGGGTTTCAGCTCAGATGTCGTCCTCGTCACTTGACCATGGTTCAAAATGACGAGGTCCGTCGCCCAAAGCCCTCGTGTAGTTGAATAGTGCGACGTTAATATTCTCTCACTCACTCACTTTGAGCTTTGACAGATTTAACGGGCATCGCTCCTCTACATGGTGGCTCTTCAGTGGCTTTAGGCTCGAACACATGACATACAGGGCCTTGAGTCTGTAATCATGACCGCTAGTGTGTGTGACCAAGTGACCAATTAGAGAATCCCACACTCACGTGGTACAATGTCACACTTGCAAATAATCGTGGGTCAAATTCTTCGATGTACTCCAAATATCACTTCGTGTACCTTCTGGGGTATTTATATACCACTTCACAGGTCACTGCTCAATAGGATTCCAAAGTCAAAAAATAATACTGATATTCATACGTTTTTTCCCCGCTCTGGGTTCTTTATGCGAAAACAGACTTAATAAAGAACACAATGCTATTTACTTAAACGTATTTTGTTTTTTTCATACCAATCTTTTGATGTTACGAAATGGAAATAAATATCCAAATATTTATAAATCATCTCAAAAGAATTTCGCAATTATTCAAAAACTATAAATATTCCGATTGATAAATAAAGTAACGAATATATTATTTTTAGCAAGCAATAGTTTTAGAGCAAATCTTAAAGAGGATTTCATAATTCTCCAACAATGGGCCAACATTATTAAATTACTTGCATGTAAATAATTGAGAAAATCTAAAATAATTTCTTTAAATTATTCAAATTGATTAAACATTAAAAGTTATTTTTATATTGCAGATATCCTGTCCTAGTACTGGAGCCTTCTGGGAAATCGAATCGCTGCAGGTAATTTCTCCAATTGCTTTCAATTAACAAAACTGTTCTTAAAATAAATCTTTATTATTTGTAAATAAATAAATGTTTTATTTTTTTCACATTAAGAATTTAAAAAAAAGGAATTAGCAATATTGTAAGCAAATTTGGAAATGATTCAAATACACAATAATTGAAAAAAGCACGCATGGCTTATAAAATCTCCAATATTCCGTAATAAAACTTTTTAACTGAGTGAAAAAAAAGACTTAAATGACAGTTTTTTTCAAACGATTTTAAATATGATATCGAACAAGTAATATAAAAATAATTTTTAAGCCAATTCTACTAGAGAAGCAAAGAGAAAAAATTTATTTTAGTTACTTTTTAATCAATAATTACAATTAATATTAAATATGATGATAGAATCACAATATTAAGTGGCAAAATAGAAAGCGCGATTTTCCTTTCTATATATGGTGTTAGGCTATTATTTTTGTTTATTCATTCATAAATCACATTCTCAGAATTTTTAGGTCATCCAAGGTAGGATTAGAACCCACGGCCTTTGGATTAGAAATCCAACGTGCTATTCATTGCACTCTTCAGGGACACTACGAGCCATTTTTCTTTTTATATATATGGTGTTGGATTATTATTTTTGTATGTTACTATTTATTCATTAATTAAGTTTGACTCTAATGAATTAATATTTGACAAAACTGTATTAACATCAATTGTCATCCACTACAAGTTTAAAAAATATATTTGAACTTGTATGGATGAATAGAAAGTATTTTACTAACGATTGAAAATTTGAACAAGATATATATACATAGTGAGATTGTAAACTAATAATAGAAATTGAAAAAAAATTTTTTTTTAATTCATCTAAAATAAATTCTATTTCAAAAGACGAATAGTTGCGGTCGAGAGCGTCTGACCGATGATGGTCAAGTCGCACCGAGATTTTAAATGTTGATTCCAATAAAGATAAACGCCAGTGTGTGAATTAACCAAAGTTTGTTGTATGTATAAAAAATGAAACTTTTTAGCGCGTTTTTCACGTAGAAGAACAAAAGCGCTATTAGGACGCAAATTTCGTCTTCGTTCCATATTTTGTCGTACCTTTTTCTCAGCCAATAAGCAACCAATTGACCTCGGGTTTTCGGCATTGGGTCACATTTGTGCCCTAGATGAGCCGAATCATATTTAAATTTTCCCATAGTTTTCCAGAATTTTCCTACAAATTTTCCTGAAAAACGCGCTAAAATTACCATGCCAATGATTGATATCTTGTTTATTCTATAAGTTCTCCAGTGATTTTGTTTTGAAGATACAACCTAGAAGTACCAGCTGAGATGACATTTTCATCACTCGATCATGGATCAAAATTACGAGATCAAAAGTTTTTCATTCATTTTATATTTAACGAGAAACTTTTATCAAAAAATAAATTTTAATTTATATTGATTAAAAGTCATACGCGCGTAGTGAATTTTAATAAGTAATGTAATAGTTTTATATATGCATACATTTTATAAAATCTGATAGGGGAATGAGATGAAGGGTTAAGAATTTTAACAATCTTCTAATCCTTCCTGAGATCCATATTTTGCTCGGAATCGAAATATCGATAATTCATTGTTTGCAAGTTATACTGAAAAGTAGTTTATTTTACTTACATTTAAATATTTATTTTAATTGACACAGCAATTTCTTAAACTCGAACAAAAAAAAGTTCATCGACTATGTCATTGTTTTCATATGTAAGTATTAAATTTCTTTCACTTTTTCTTAAAAGCATTCAAGAGGATTTACAAATTTCTTGATACATTAAATCCGGGGAAGGGGGCATTAAGTCGATCGCGATCGACCGGTGGACCGCCAAGACATTTTGGGGTGATCGCTTGAAGATTAGCATTTAGTAATTATATAGAGAAATATTCAAGATTGGCTAACAGTATTCGGACTTATACTGACTCTAACTAAATGATGAGAATGTATAATTTTTTAATGTATTTTGAATTGTTTGATAAATGGATCATTTGTGGCTATTATTGTTATTATGTTTGTATTTTGCGTTTTGCTTTAAACGCGGTTTCAAAAAGTGAGTTTTTCATTTTATTTATGTAGGTAAGTACATGTTCCGTATTTATTAAGCTATAATAAATATTGTTGACTTTTTCTTTACTTCACCACCCCTACGACCCTGAGCAGTGAGCACACTCCTGAATTTTTCGAAGGGTGGTGGTTCGTGGTGGTCCAGAGTCGAATGTCTACCCTTCTCATATCCTACCCAAATACATATCGCCAAACATATGTTTTTTTCATTTTGTAGAGTATCGGGAACAAAGAACAGTAAGGAATAAATTATTGAATAAATAATTAGCATTAAATAATAAAAAAATTATTAATAACAAATGCTTAATTAAATTTTACGTACTATATACATGGGATTATAATGGATCAAAAAAAATCATGGGCTATGGAGGAGGACCCGGACCCGTGGATCCCCCCCCCCCATTGTGTGTGCCACTGATATTAGGTGGACCGCAACACCTTGAAAAAATTAGAAGTATCTCGTACCCTGGAAAAGTCTGCCCACCCCTGCATTAAATTATTAATGTTATTAAATTTTCGATTAGCTGTATTTGCTGCTATAAGAATGAAATTGTAAAGGATGTCCTCTAACATCCATTAGTGAGTGGGAGTCAGAATGAATACCAACCATAATCAAAACAAATATAATTTCTTCATCCTTTAACAAGTCTCCCAAACCCAGGCTAGGAAATGCACTTATAATAAAGTATTGGAGCAAAAACGAGGAAGACGAGATATTTAATTATGAGTAAAACCATTTATTTTTGGAACGTTTCGTAATTTACGTTCTAAATAATCGTACCACCCTGAATCGTCAATTATTAATCTTGTATATTAATTAATCAATCGAAGAGTCGCTCTCGTCTAGCTTTCAACTTTACGTTAATCACTAACTTCTATCATCTAACTCAGGGGTGGCCAACCTTTTTGAGAAGAGTGCCACTGTCAAATAAAAAAAATTTTTTTTTAAATACATGCGTGCCACTTCCAACTTTTTTCAACAATCAAACAAAAAAAAGGTTACTTAAAAGCCTATTATGGGATTTTCAGTGCAAGTCTAAGTAGTGGAATAAAAATAATATAAAAAATAAGACAAAAGTACAAACTTAGGTTTTATTGTTAATAAACTTTTTACATTTGAGTAACTTGAAGCATTTAACTCTAATTAATTATTAAACATTTAGTACTTAATGTGGCTTTTCAATTATTAGTTGTGTTTCTTTTTTTATCTAGTCAGCCTGTATTAGGATTAGTTCTTAAATATGCTAACAAAATTAGGTTATTTTAGGTGCATACCAGCTAGTTTTGAGCGATATTTTTTGATTTTATGTTCATAACACAAGATTTATTCACAAACATATGTTGATCTAAGTTTTGAAGGGTTTCTTGTCTGAGACAACCGCACTTCAATAAAAACTGCTATTTATTATTATCTTTTTAATTTTTTAAATTATTCAGTAAATCTTTGCGTGCCACTGTTATAACCCTGCCATGCCAACTTGTGGCCCGCTTGCCGCGGGTTGGCCACCACTCTAACCTCTCTTTCTCTTTTTCGAACCTAAAAGTTAATGCTTAAATATACACCCTGATTTACATAGATCGTATCTTTTTCTCGGGAGAAAGTTTTCAATTGAACAATATTTAAAGTAATAGATTTTCCCAAGAGGATTAGTAAGACGTATGCGAGTAGACCCGTTACAAAATGACTCCTAACATTATATCTCGCTTTGGACAGGCTTATAAACGTATTATCTTTGTCTCTTCAGTCAATTTTACGAGATTATATGAAATAGAGTCGTTGCTTATGCCACCTGATCGACATTAACATCAGATCAAGGTCCACGAAATTCATCGCGGCTACGGGCTAGAATTTTACGCCTGCCGTTAGCCTAAGCTTTGAGCCCCCAAGAAGGTGACAGTGCGATTTTGCTCGGAACAACACCATAGATGGCGACACCATTCGGACCCACTGATTTAACGAGCACGTTCTCCGTTTATACTTGGTGGGCATTTGGTGGCATCGGGCATCGAACCCAGGCCTTCCGGTCTGGAGTCCAATGCTCTAACCACTAGGCTACCCACGGCCTATGAAATAGTGAATAAAAGCGTGACTTATTTCTTTCAGTAATCTTTTAATATTTTTTTTTATTTAAGTAAAATGATTATAATGTATTATTCTAAGGAAATGAGAAGGCACATATATTTTGTTTTACTAGTTTTAAAAAAAATTATCTCCATAAACGAGAATTAAAAAAAAAGATTTCGTATATTAACCACCCAAATATGTGGTTAGATATTAGTTCGACAAATTATTAACAACAGATTCCAAAGCGGTTACATAGAATTGAAGCGATTTGATGTGAAGTGATTAATAATAATAATTTAAAATCGCAGTCACTTAATATTCGAGTTATTTATTTAAGTGAGTTGTTTTGATTTCTTGCAAAACTTCATTAACAGTTGTTTATTAGTGATGCAAAAAAAATTCTCGTTAGTTAAATTTTCTTATGATTAAGAATTCAACAATTTGCTATAGAACAAAACAAAAGATTGCTGTGTCAAATATTTATTTTTATCGATTATAAAATCTTTAGCATTTGAATGTTTTGCAAACACATATTAACAATTCAAGAAATCATATCTGCTAGTTTCTTTTACCTGATGCGATAGCAAAGAGTTGAGAGCCCCTTTTATTGTCCTATGAATTTGGAAAGGCATGACAATATGATCTCAATTATTTTATTTCAAATATGCATGTTATAAATTAAAAACTAAAAATATAAATATATCCTATCTCACTTAGCTATTTGGTTGGCGTGGGGATTTTATTAGGTGGAAATCAAAGTTAAAATTGCATTTTTAATGTACACTTTTCGATAGCATTAGATGTTTGATAAGGAAATAATACGAAGTTTTATATCAATCAATGAAGCGATTAATTCACATAAACACATATATTTCGCTCAAGTAAATTTGGAGGCAACTCACACCCGTGTTCGAAAACTTTTTTCGTTCCTATTTCGCTTTAAATTCCGCTGAGAGAAAGCGTTGGAATTCCGCAAAAAGGCTCCAAATTTCTGCCGTGCCATAATAACCAAGACAACCCAAAGCATTCTCCCGCCGGACAGTAGCCGGATCAATCCTTTTGTTTACGCGGCCATTAAAAGGCAGAAAATATAATAACGATTGACTTATAATGGCAGGCATAAAAAATAAAGATAACTCCATAAATGCATACGACCGATCTTCCACGTACAATACGGGGCTCCACATGTTATTTAGCTACTCGAAACTCATTATTTTGCCATTAGATACGGTTCGTCGAAACGTTTGAATATAGCCAAGGTACTTACACAAAAACGGTGGTGTAATAAAAAGATTCTCCTTCAATGTTCTCCAAGACCTCGGTAATTGAATTTTTGTATTTGTGTATGGTTTTTGCATTCTTTTCCGCGCGGTTATCATGTTTAGGGTGGCAAGCATCGCGGAGACAGCCCCCGTGTTGTCTGA